AATCTACACTTAATTACTGGGTTATTTTGTTTCCTGGTAAATTCTCCTACATTGGGGTGGCGCCAGATATCTTGGAGGTCTTGTGTTTTATTGAGAGTATATAGCAATTTTACACTTTGACGTATGTCAGTGTTTCCACCAACCTTATCAATTATTGGGTCTATCACAACGCTGAAATCTTCTCCAACAATCACTTTTCCCGCCAGTGTTTGTAGTTAGAGAGAACCTTGTTCATTTCGAAAAAAAAAGTTTTTCCTGCACTCACGATCGTTGGGTGCGTAAATGTTCCATAAACTGTAATACGTGTTGTTGGAGCTGAAATGCAAGCCTATGTACCTTCCGCCGTTCTTGTCATGCACTGTATCCACCTCTTCGATTTTGCTGTACGGATTAATGAGGATAATTATGCTTTTCTTTTCCACTGTCTTTGGCAGTCATTAAAATCTGCTTTGGTGCAATATGTTTCCTGGAGTAAGATGATCTCCGCTGTTGTTCGTTTAAGGAAAAGAAATAATGAACGCCTATTGTTGCGTTTGCGAAGCCCGCGGACATTTGCTGATATAATTTTGAGGTTCATTAATTAAGTAGATTGATTAAATTGTGTTTGGTGATAATTTTTCTTTCAATCAACAGGGGAAATCGGAGGGTTCCTTCTTTTTTCATAGATTGTAGGTAAGATAACGGCTCTATCAGATTTTTCCTGGGGTTCCACCATTTGTTTGTTCTGACCAGCACAAATTTGTTGAACAATTTCTGTTATCTGTGGTGTGCCGGTCGTAGGGTTTGCGAATGTTTTCTTCTGTTTTTGATGTAGTTGTTTATCACTGTTCTCAGTATCGGTGGTAATTTAAAAAGCACTGGTGACCTTTGGATTTGGAAAAACGTTTTGCAAAGAAATTCAGATAATGTACAATGATAATATACAAAATACAACAAGCCCGTAGCCAGGGGGGTTCGTTGGGTGCGAACGAACCCCCCCCCCTTTTTTCAACAAAGTCTGGTTAGCCTACACCTTGGGTCTAGCCTAGAGCCTATCATCACTTAAAAAAAGTCCTACTTTAATACCCAATTGTTAGGCCTACCTAGTAATATAAAAAAATAGATGAAAATAGGGCATTTTCAACTGTTACAACATTATTATTTATTCAGTACAACCGTGTAGGGCTAACCGCCCAAAATAGGAACAGGACAGGGCAGCAGCAGCAGAGCGTATCGCCGATCTTCCCGAGACGATCGTCGGCCACCATATATTATATTACTATGGATGCAATATTTTATTGTGCAGTATGACCATTAGGCACCAAAACCTTGACTCAGAAATACCGGGATGGTGTCCGGCGGGGGATAGTTTCACACCTGTATATATAATAATAATACACTACAACCAACCATACAAACCATACTAGTAAATCATTATATTATATTATATTATATTACTGTGGATGCAATATTTTATTGTGCAGTATGATCATTCAGGCCCCGAAGTCTTGACTCAGAAATACCGGGATGGTGTCTGGCGGGGAATAGTTTCACCTGTATAATTATATATAATAATAATCGGGATAATAATACACTACAGCCAACCATACAGATTTGTTTCGGTTCTTTTTATGTTACTGATTGTCTTGAGTGAGTACTGTACAGTATGATACAACTTCCGAAGTGCTATAAGCCATACAGTACTTCTTATTTCTTAAAAAGAATAAAAATAAAGAATAAGCCATAGGCCTACTGGTCTCTTTGGAGTTTGTATCATGCTAATGTAGGCTCTTGTTAATTTACCAGTACTGTAGTACTAAACTAGTAGTTTTTGTTTTTTGTTTTTTTATCTTTGCCTAACTCAAAAAATTACCTCTTTAATATACATATTTAAAAAAAATGTATGGCCTCTCAAATCAATTAAATAACACCTGTAAATGTCTAGAATGCTGGAGCTTCCGGGGGCTTGGCCCCCTGGACCCCCACCGCGCCTTTTTCCCATGGACCCCACCGGGGGCCCGTGGCGGCACCCTGGCCCCCATCCAATGGTGCTCGCTTCGCTCGCAAGTGCCCTTTTAGTATCAAAAAGAACCCCCCTATAAAAATCTTGGCTACGGGCTTGTACAATTTAATACAAATTTTATCTTTCGCGTGGCGTAAACAGGGCTAAAACTCTCTCCGTATGTATTTATATTATGTGCTGAAATGTTCGCAAATAGAATTTAGCAGACAATAGATATAAAAGGTACGGTATCACTCTAAAAAAAACAATAGATAAAAATAAGTTTATATGAAAACGATAATTCATATTATCTGGATTATGGATTTAATTCAATATCTAGCTTTTTGATTTAGGCCTATAAAAGAATTCTCAAAATGTTCTGGACTATGTATTAATTCCGACAAATACCGCGTTATGCGAATAGGAATTAGTAGACATAGTAATATTAGTACATAGTAATATTAGTACAATCTAAATGTAAATTCACTCAGGAAACTTGCATAATGACATGGAACTGTCTATGCGCATGGAAGACTCGAGCTCTTACTTTGGAACAATTATACATAATAAGTTTTTCATTCCAAAATTAATTTACTGAATTTGCATTTTGCTAAGCCCACCACTTTCTGTTATCAAGAATGTGCAAAATGTGTTATTCAAATTTACTGTGGAGTTTGAACATGCCGCACGTCAAAAGTTGTTAGGAGGTCCATATATTCGCATAGGTGAAACGTTACCTAAACAAAAATGATAATGTAAATGGAAATTATTCTTTGTCCACGAATTTAACAAATATTGCAAAATGTATTTATTTGAATGTAATTTTGACGTTAATTCAATTAGGCCTATATTCCAATAAATAGGCCCATCCTATGGTTTTTATCTGGATGTGATCATATGGATGTAATAAAAAAATTCCAGTTAATTAAGAAATGTGTTTCATTAACAACAGCATCTGTTAATAAATAGGAAACAGAATTTGGATAGTCATTATAAGCTTAAGATAATTGATTCACCAATATGTAATCTATGTAAGGGGCTATCCAAGTTTGTCGCATCTATTCTATGACTGTACCATATAGCGTCTTATTACATGGAGAAACTTGAATGTTTCTGCAACAGGAAGCATATATATTCCATATGCTTCTAAAAAAAAAGATATTCTTTAGTGTTAATAATAGTAATTATATTGTTAACAATGTGTTACTCTTAGCAAAATATATTTTAGATGTAAAATTTAAACTGATATTCCAAACATTAAATAGTTTATAAATGTATTAAGATATACAGAAAGGATCGAGTATATCGTTGCCAGAAATAATAATACAGGCTGCATTTAAAGATAATGAGAAAGGTTGCTCTAATATTTTACCGAGGGGTTTCACTCTTGTCATAATTGGTAAAATGTTCTTATATTAGGGAAACGATTTTGAATTTGTGATTAATTGTATGTATTAATTTCCTTCTGTATTAATCCAATTTGCTATGTTGCCGCTGTGTCGACGAAATTGTTTTTCATTGTATATATTTTTTTTAATGAAATAAAAAAAAAAACAGCAAAGTCAATGATTACAACTAGATAGGATAAACTACTTCATACACTATTTTGCTAGAATCTTCCCCCAGACAGAAAAATATTTTCTTTTACAGTTCCAAACTCTGAAAAGTCCTACCATAAAAAAATATGATCCTCTCCTTCCATTACTTCCTACAAAGACTATTTTCTACAGCTTACTTGAAATATACTCGATTTTGATAATTTTTTGATAATTTGATTTTTTTTTTAATTGAGTATTTTTTTATTAGTATAAAACAAAAACTCAGAAGGTAACAAAGAAATGTTGATTGAAAGGTATCTAAATTTACAATACAAACTGATAAAAAATACAAGACATCAAACGGGATAAATTTATGCCTAAACTAAAAAATCAACATTTGACAAGGATAAAAAAAACATGACTTATAATATACTAAATATACAAGAAAATATATATTAAATTTATCACAGGGACGTCAATTCAATCATTATACAGTTATCATTAAAATTTAAAAAGTATAACCTGCATCGTGAACGTTTTTCACCATGGGGCCAACATGTACGAAGTATTACTTTGTTTTTTACTCTCCATCTGGCTTTTCCTATTTTCTGTTTTGTTTAATTAATATAGATATTTCTTTGGTGAAATTTTATAAAGTTTAAAAGTTAATATGAAAATTATTATTATTACCCGTGATAGTGTTACTCCCACTCAACAGTTCATTGGACTACCTGAACCATTAAGTAAACCAGGTGAAACTGATGAAGTTGGAAATGTAGCTAACAAATAAAAAAAATAATCGTGCACTTGGTCAAGATAGAAACTAATCAATGACCAAACGTCTTTTGAAAAGCATCGATAAACTAAATGCATTGGTGAAGCAGTATTAGCTCCACTTCAGAAAGAAAATAAAGAAAATAAAACATTTAAAAACATTACACTAACAATTTTAAGTAACTCACATCCCAAAATATTATCCTTAGTAGCATCAAATAAGATCGAAAACATGTAAAGCTCGTAGCAGAGGTTATCAATTTTCTCTAATTTCACTAATACAAAACGATTTAAGTAACCATATTCTACAATTAAAAAAACAAAAAGGTGTTATAAAAAACTTATACAACTTGCCGTAAATCAGTATTGTTGGACCTAGATTTAAAAAAAATTACACCTATAATGTTAAAGAAGCAAATAATGTAATATATTACTTAAAATGTGAAAACAACGATTTTGAGTAGTTTGACATAAGGAAGTATTTTAAAGGCCAGTTCGACTTTATACGAATAAAATTGTAAAGTTTATAATTTTGTTTTAATTATTTGAAAAATTCATTCCGAATTCTTTACATATAAAATAGGAATATGATTAAAAACTCATTTCTAAAAATTATTGGTATATTGAAGTGTAACATTTTTTTACTATTAAAGTCACGAATTAATATTTTGACTACTTTTACTTCTTTTTCCTTTTATAATTTGTAGCGCAAACCAAATGTGATTTCGAGGATCCATACATTTGTTACTTTGATCAAGATAAACTAGACGATTTTGATTGGATAAGAACATCTGGATCAACACCCACATCTGGTACTGGCCCTTCATATGACCACACCTATGGAACATTAGAAGGTATTAAAAATCTGACATGAATTTAAATTTCGTAAATGAAATTGTAAATTCTTAATAAAAATATTTCTAAAACTACAAAAAAATAAATAAATAAACTGCAAAGAAATATAACAACAATTATCTCTTAATCCCAAAACGTTTATTTTATCATTTGCCTACAGGTTCCTACATGTACATCGAAACTTCATATCCGCGATACAACAACGAAACCGCTCGTCTTTGGACACCGTCATATCCTGCAACAAACGGCACATGCGTCAAATGGTTCTACCACATGTACGGTGACACAGTGAACACATTGAATGTGTATATAGTCAATACAGAAGGTAACGTTGGTGCTCCTGCGTGGGGAAATAGTAACGATCAAGGAAACATTTGGCGACTTGGAAAACTGTCAGTTGAAACAAAGAGTGCATTCCAGATAGTATTTGAAGGAATTGTAGGAAGTAGTGATAAAGGTGATATTGCTTTAGATGACGTCAGGATTATCGATGGGGCATGTTTGAGAAACGGTAAATTACACTTTTAAAAATATTTATTTTGCCACTCGTCCTTTTGCCGCTGCTTTTACCACCTACGTACTGTAGTAACAGTCTGTGAAAAATAAGGGGGTAACTTAAATAAGTAATTGTAATATATATCCCCCACGCACTTTCTTACAAATGACTGAAACGCTCACAAAGAGTGTAGCTGAAGAAAAGCTAGGAAAACTTATAGTCCCAACTTTAAAATCATGAGAAACATTGCCGAAAAAAGGCTTTCCTCACGTTGAAAGATCATAAATATCACCAGCAAAGCAAATGAACTCATCCAACGCTGCTGATAAACAACAAACTTCTAATAAGTAACTAGGTGTAGTGCGATAAACTCATACACTAAAACATCACTACGTCATATCATAAAAGAAGAGAAAAAAAGGCAGCACCCACAAAATTAACAACGCAGCAAAATAAATTGCTTCAAAGCTTAAAATTGGAACCATATAAAAACCATTGATGAAGAAAGCTTTAATAACATTCAAAGACCATAACGAAAACTTTTTACATAAGCCAAACTACAGACTAGTAAAAACATCAAAAATCATAGGCAAGATCATTCTCGACCGGATAATCCATGACCTCTTCACAAAAACACAAATAAACAAATGGAAAAACACCATTTCTGTCTCTGAATGATTTAAACCCATGCAGCACAAATTAAGAAGACCATCTCTTTTAACATTGCGGAAATCTTAATTCTATCACAAATATTGTTAACAGACGAAATCTAGTAAGCACGAAAGC